ATGCTCTGCCTATCAAATCGAGACAGGAAAAAGTGCATGATTCTGCATGGAGTTTGCCTCGATGCCCTTTGATATTCCCCATGTTATTCTTGTACTGAGGTCATTTTATAAATTTTGTCCTTGAAAATGGCTGCCTTCAAGACCTGAATCTGATCAAGCTAAAATGATATGTCCTTTCAGGTTTGTCATGTATACTGATTTAGCATGAAAGCCAGAAATGAGAAGTATTTGTGCAAGTTTTACTGTTTACTGTTTATTACATTGATTAGAACCTCATAATTATCCATGTAATATCCAAAATCATTTTCTTTTCGAGATATGTCATATTTATAATATATTATTATTATATAATATGAGGTAATCAGAGGATACTTCAAAGTATGCACGAAGACAGTGCAGCAAAAGTATCGACCAACGTCCAGCGGAGGTCGATGCGATGACGTACTGTCTGAGTGCATACTTTGAGATATCCTCGTAATAACCTTATTATTATACATCTTTTCCTCCCAAGGATACATCAGTTTATAACAAAATCAGCTAACTTCTTTGTGTGGAGTCCGGTCAAACCCTGATGGCAGCCATGTTTTTTTATTATTAGAGGACGCTTACGTGTGTAATCATTCCATATTTGAAATTCACATTTCCTTATATGGTAGGATGAAAATACCCAATAAAATTAGGCAAAATTACGACACACTGTAACTTATGCTGTTACGACAGATATCTCATAATATATATTATAAATAGCATGCAAATAGGTGGAATCATTTTTGCTCTAATTTGTGTCAACCAAAAATTCAATATCAAGGTGTCTGCATTGCAGCAGTAGAATGAACATGCTAGTTACCAGTTGTGTGTTCAGTTGGTGCCCAAAGAAGTCATTTTGTCTCCGTATTCATATAAATTAAAAACTTGAGAACAAATTGACAAAAATACACATATGTAGCTCATTTCAAGGTATGCATATACAACTGTTTATAAACTGATCCTGCGTGTCAAGAGTTCATCCCTTCTTTAGTTACTGATTGTATATCGTTATACATGTAGGAAAATAGAAGGACTTTACACTCAACTGTTTTGATGAAAACAGTGTTATTTATTGATAAATAGTTTCAACGCAGGGCTATGATAGATGGCTAAATATTCACAGTTAGATATTGATTAGATATGCGTGGAAGTTGATGTAATAATATTTAAATACTTGATTGTAACTATGTACAAAAAGTACAGTACACGTTTGGTACTCCACTCAGACCATGCAAGCACAGTGGAACATTACCCCTGGGTCATGTTACTTTACATCCAACATTGTTATGCTCTATATAATGTTACTTGCTGTGTCTGTCTCTTGAAGGATTAGGCTTTAATACACTGATTTATGTAACTTGTGACGGAAATAGGAATATGTCATCGGTATTTGCCCACAGGTGAGGTGGAGAAGCATGATTTTTGGGGTGCTCCATCTCTACTGTCGGCTTCACAACACTGTGAAGTTACAACACTATATATATATATGTTTATATTCTTGTTATGGAAACAGTTTTCTTGCCTCTAGCAATACCTTGATTGTACTGTAACACAATACCTATTCTTTACTGTTGCCCTTTTTGGTAATAAAACATGCATACTTAGTGGCCTGTTGTCATAACAACCAAGCTACCATGCCCAGTAAATGTACATATTGCTTCGCTTCTACACGTACTAGCTGCCAACAGTGCAATAATAAATTTGTTGTGTTTTCTTTTATCATTAAATCATACTTAGAGCAGTGATTCCTTTGTGATATGTGAAATAAAAAATCGTTTATCAGCTCCCGGTACGTGTAAATAACCAAGTGTTGCATTTGTTAAAGCGAGTATTGTTGTACGTAGATAAATTGGGTTTCCCGGCAACTTAAAGTTGACTACTGTCCACATGTAACAGAAACAACTGCCATGGTATCCTAACGATGTCCATCCATCCATGCTAAGCTAGCAAAGTTTTATTACTTTATAGAGGTTGATCGCAGCAAATACTGAAGATAACTTGTGGTATTGCGAGAAGCAGTGTTGGTATTTTTCCCAAGTGCATAGCACAAGAATAAAATATCAGTACTGCCTTGAGTAAATATCGCGCATTATCTCCGGTGTTATCTGTCTGGATAGCCCTTGTTATTGTTGGAATACACAAATTTGGTATGGGGATTATTGTTTAATATCATAAAAGTTGATTTGCGGAATTTCTGACCCAAAATAAATCTTAAACATGCGAAAGGAGGAACATATTCTGCTGTTTCTGATAATAATAAATTGGATAAAAATGTTTACCGAAATTTATGAAGACAATGATTATTTAAAATTAAAATAGACAAATTATGAGTATGTATAGATTCTGGAAAACCAGAAATTGTTTTCATGTTTTATAGAATTTACCGGTAAATAGAGCAATATTTGTTTTAAGGGCACCATGGCAAACTCATTGGATGTCAATTTTAGGCAATTTATTTAGATGATTATGTCTGTAAAGTTCCAGATATTTATATGAGATTCAGACTATTGTCAATAAAGATAATTTGTGTCTAATATGTGAATGTATGTTATGTTTCAGGGCTTGAAATTAGAAGCTACTCAATTAAAGACCAGACACTCATCTGAGGGAAATATCAATACTTGTGCAATCTAAATCACATACTCTAAAATGCATTCATCCTTTGTGGCCATTTCCAACTTTTGGTACCATGAAATTATGGTCTGCTTCTTCTCTCCACATACATGTAAAATGTTGATAAAAATTGACAAATTTTTCGATCAAAAAATAAAAGCCATATCTGAACTTGTATGTATGGTCCAAAATGATGATGAAATTTGATGAAAATTTTACAAAATGGGAAAATATTTGCACTAAATTTCAGGGCAGGAAAAATATTTTGCTGCAAAGATTAATTATTCACATGTTATTTTCAGTAATATTAATAAGTGCAATTTGTATAATTATAGCTCCCCAACACTAGTTTGACTAAAATTTCATATCACGAGATTGAGTTTTTGCTTATATATTTATAAAACCTGTATAGATTTGAAAGAATTCCCTTGAGATAGGTTTATAACAATTTCAGGTGTGCAAGCCTGGCTTATTGTTGTCGTTATGGTGATACCTTTAGCCAATCAACACGGTCATGTGTATGATCAGGGGAGCATGAAGCGTATTAAACTATGCAGTAAGTACATCTGTAACCAACGATAAAGTAACAAGCTGAGAGTTTCCATGTTACTAGCATGACTATCTGCAATCAACAAAGGCTTTATCATCAGCATACTATAAAATATTAGTATATGTATTTGACAATCTATACAGAATAAATAGCTTACTTCAAATAAGACTCACAGTCGTCTTTCTCATTGCGATATTATATTCAATTATTCTGTACTTTCTTTACTGAACTGCAGAAAGGAAAATACATGTAAAAATAAATTGTTTTTTTCCAAAAATTGTTCTGAAGTGCCTGAAGAAGTTTTTAATCTAGCAATTATGTGTTTCAAATTGTCTGTATACATGTTGTATACTTTGATGACGCCAAGACATAAATTATTTATAAACAATTTGATTTCTTAATTTGTATAATGAAACACGGAGAAATGTAATACAGTGGAAATTGGTTCACTTCAACACTTATTGAGTAGCGTTTCTGTTTTGTTTCTTGATTTAATTGAAATTGAAATAATTGAAAACTTATCAAAGAGACGGTCGGTGGGACTGTATCAATAAGGATCTGTCGTCAAACCGGTGGTGTGTGTGTTTATTAACACCGGGTGGTGACTAGTGCGACTTCTTGCATTCAGCGTAATCAACGTCATGGTATATAATAGGTTTTGTCTGGCTCTATTTGGCTCAGTGTGTATAATGCCTAGACCCTTGTTTAAATACAAAAGGTGTAACTATTCACTTGTCGAACTGCCATAATTTTAATACAGGTAACACCTGTACAAAGTTGCACATATTTGGTGTGATTTCATTGTAATTTCTGTGCTCTTTGATGCTGAAAGTTAGTATTGATTAATTAATGCAGTTAAGTGTACATGACGTTGTTCTGATGCTCAATATTTTAATTTTGATATAGCAAGTAAAGGCACATGTTTGATTGTTTTTACTAAAATTGTTACTCTTTGAAATCCATGTTCTGAACTGGATGCCAGGGTAAAACATTTTAAAAAAGACCTCAGACTACAAACAATATAATTTGAATTTTGAATGAAAAATATGTGATTACAGTATTTTGAGGGTTTTTTTCTCAATGAATGTAAAGTCATACATGAAATTTAATTAAGCAGTGCTGAAGTGCGCCCTCACTGACAATAGTGATCTAGCATATTGGCAATTTATTATACACTTCATACTACCTGGTACAATATATAAACTGTGGTGTTCTATCTAATCTCACATGTCAAAATCATGCAACTATTACAACCTACATTTTTACAATGTGGCTAGCAATTTAACAAAGTAGAAGTATTCAACTGCCAAAAGTAGGCCATCATACTGTATCATTTAACTCTTTCAACGGTATCGGTATAATTTTATCCACCCAAAATTTGGTACAACCCTTTGTATGATTTTCATTAGTATTTTTTTTTAAATTTCTGAATAGACATAATGAAACATTTCTAACAGGTCTTGATCAAAATCTTAGAAACAAACAATTATTAATAAATAAATGTTGTTTGTTCAATTTTGTGTATGTAAAAGTACATGGCACTGATAGAATGAGTAGATGGCTGAACCTGTTAATTTGAGTATGAACGCCAGCTGAATTAACCATTTGTTGTCTTTCAGGGGAAAAAAACAAGAACACTTGAATGTAATTGATCCATTGTACTTCATTTGGTATTTCTAAAATTGCTAAATATTTTTGGTGCTTTCATCACTTTTGTTTTATTGTACTTTCCAGGGCTTCATGGTAATTTAACCTTGTAAAATTACACTATGTATAACATAATACTGTTTTATTGTTTTCGTACTTGTAGGAGGATCTTTCACAGTGTAGGAGTTTATCAGTGTTGTATCTCTATGACAACAACATATCTAGGATACAGAACGTAGGATGTGCGTCCAACTTGACACACCTTTACCTTCAGAATAATCAAATATGCAAAATAGAACAATTATCATGTCTTAGGAAACTATCAAAATTGTAAGTATATATAAAACCAATTTAAGTTATCATAAAAGCTGTTATATTTGAATTTTGTTGTGTGTAATATGGAAGCTAAGATGAGCAGGTTTAAGTTTTTGATTAAAATAATTCATGAAGCAGAGGTTTTATTTCACAGGATGCTTTAACCTTTTCACCACCAGACATTCTCGCCTAAATTTTTCTGCTTTTTTTCTTGTATTCTACAATATTTCTGGAAATGTACCCTAATTTTGGTGCCAACAGACAAAATTTGATTATATTTTCATGTTTTTTTTCTTCAAATTTTTAATTTGGCTATTTTCATCCCAATCTTCTAAAGGTAAGTGCAGACTATAAACAGGACTATTTTGTGAATTTGTGATAAGAGAAAACTGGTGGTGAAAAAGTTAAACTCTAATTTTCACTACACTTATTTACTTACATGTATGATAATCTGGATTAAAAAAAAAGTTATGTTCAACGTTTTTGTTTTCAGATATCTCGGTGCTAATCAAATAACAGTTGTGGAAGGTTTTGAAAAATTAGACCAACTCAAAGAGTTGCACATTGAGAATCAAAGGTTAGCCCCAGGAGAGAAACTTTTATTTGACCCAAGGTCACTGGTAGCTTTATCAGTAAGTATGTAATTTAATAATATATTAACATTTACAACCTAAAAAAAAATCTAAAATTTTTTTCACAGTGAATTAATAAATTCCCTTTACAGTTCTGCTATATTTGGCTCTATGCTTTTCAATTATTTTTTATAGCAAATATCATTGTCATAATTTCAACTTACAATTTGCTGTATTTAATATTAGACATATTTATGTAGATTACACTGTGCAATTTAGATACATGGCAGTTTTGAAAACAAGCTAAGATAGCTTTAAATTAGCTTAAAAATAGCGACATTTTGAGTTACACTCGGACTACACTATACACATATAATACATGTAGATCAAATCCGTGAACGAATGTGTTTTGTTTCACCCTGGGTCTGAGGACAATCAACATAAATATTATTTGAATATACATGTAATCTCAAACAATTATTAGTTCTCTTAGTTGTCTGAGTGACAAAAAAAGTGATTGTTCAGAGACCAGGGATTTACTCTACGCGACATAATTTATGTCTGTGAATATATTTATTGAAGATTTCAGCATAGACCATGCACTTTAGAATGAACTGTGCATACTAGTATACCGACTTAAATTTGGGTTCGAACAAGCTGCCTCGTCACCAGAAATGAATTGTTTATTTCACTTCACACAGCTTAACTCAGTAACTATACACATAAACAAAAGATTAGGACTATCTACATTTAATGAACGATTGACAGTTGCTGTCATTGAATAATCAGTCAAATTAGAATACTAAGTTCCGCCCAGCCCATGGGTCGTAAATGTCGACCTTTAAAAGGGTTCAAAGCTGTACATGTAATGTGGTTGGACTACCAGAGGATAAATGTAAAGCTATACTAATAGTAGGGTGATATTAAAATGGTGCTACAAATTAGGATATAAATTAAGTACACATAAATAAAATACCTCTGCTTTTATTTCATTTCAGGCGTGTTTACAAGTATTAAATGTCTCCGGCAATAATTTAGATGATATTAAAGATTTGCAATTACTAAAAAACTTATCGCAGTTCATGGCTTGTGATAACTCTCTGCGAGACATGAAGGTCTTATCCATGGTTATAGGGAGTTGGAGACATCTCTGGAGGCTTGAGTTGACTGGTAATCCCCTCAGTCGAAGAAGTAAATATAGAGACAGAGTTATTGTGATGTCTGACTCATTAGGTAAAGTATCATTCATCTCAACCCCACAACACCAAAAAAGTAAAAAAAGTACAAACATTTTTGATCAGTTGATTAAATTATTTTTGAATATTTGCTGCTTGAACACCATTTTACAAATCTTAAGAGTTGTGCTTGCCAAACTAGTAATAAAATACAGGGTGAGGGTCTGTCGCTTTCGTTGTCGTCGTTAACAATTTCTAGGTCCAGGTTGCCCATTATTGTTCTGTGATCTTACCTAAACTTGTGTATTGTATCAATCAATGTGTAATCCTGGTGCAGTTCAATATTGGCAAGTCTGGCACATATTTTTAGAGATATTGGTGTAAATGTGTTTTCAAATTATGCCCCAGCTAAACATCAACATACTATCCACTTATCATATAGCTGTTGTTGTCATAATGGAGTATATGCACATGAAGTCACATTATTTAACATTCTCAGCATTCATAGCAAATTTGAGCAATCATTGGAACAATGAATCATGTCATCACTCTCTAACTCATCCCTATTTGTGGTTACATTATCTCGCATCTATAAATACTGACAGTCTTTAGAGCATGTTGGTTGTTTGTCCATATATTCGGTATTCCAGCTTTGTAACTGATAAACATGGTTACAGTACCATGCAGCTACAAAATACTGTTGCAGTCTACAGGGCAAGTCCTCTTGATCCATTTTTTTGGTGGTCTAGCCTTGTAGCTTGAATCTGATTGAATTTGCTTCCATGGCATATGACAACATCCAATTCACACAGTCTTATGATTCCCTGCCTCCCTATATGAAAATGTGTGCAATTCATTATTTGATTAAGGAATATTTGGAAGATAATGATTGAAATGCGTTTTTAAATAAGGCACCACCACATTGCTGCCCATTTTCTGCATTCACATTTGACCAATACAATAACTACACATTTCATTTTGTTGCCTTTTATCTCTCATACCAACAGCGATTCTTGATGGAAAGGAAATCAACGATACAGAAAGAAATTTTCTGATGAAGTGGAAAAAAGCAAAAGATGCTAAAAAGAAACAGAGGATAGAAAGTCAAAGTCGAGCCAACATAGGAGATGGCGAAGGTAAAAATAAAAACGTAAATTCTGTGATAGGAATCTTTTACTCTATTAACAAGGCACAGATACATGTATATGCTGTGAATCTTAAGTCAAGTGTAATACAAGTCTCACTTCAGAGGCAGCGCTTTCTAATTTCATTCGTTTTATAGGAATTACAGTGCAGTACAATTAAAAAACAGTCTCAGTCACAATACGCAATCACAGTGCCCTTGGCACTCATGCAGAACAAGCATTCAACAGTCAGCATGTACACGAACTGGTCGAACTATTCTGTCTTTTTTTGTATCAACCCACACTTATCTTCTCATGCTTTGACAGCATCAGTCAGTAATGCTATATCATGCATGACATGCACACCAGATTCCTGACTCTACTACTTTGCTGCATTTGTCAACAGTATTTATGAGAATTTCTCATAATTATTCTGTGAATCACAGAATGAAGAAGTTTTCCCTGTACACATCTATATATATTAAGTGTTCTAGAAAATGACATGTTTGTGAAGCATCATTTCATAACAGAAGCCCAAGATGAAGTCATTTCTATTTCTGTTTTCAAAGGAGAATCACGTTACGGTGATTGCTGCAGATTTTAGTCTATGTACAACAGATCAGCCCCTGTCCACTTACTAAGATAAAGGTTTCATTTCAGTATCGATGCACACCTCCCTTACTATTACCATCTTAATTGTGCTACAATTTCCCACATTAACTGCAGTAGATGAGGAATCAAAATAAGACAAGCCTGATAGTACTAAAAGGTTACCCCAGTCTCCTAGTTTTAGTTGCCAATGAGCCAGCTCAGTACATGCATGAACTTCATTTCATTCCTATACTATACTATACGTTATATATATATACATGTATACCAGCTTCACATTTACCTTGATAATCATTTTCAACAGTGCCACCACAACCTTTTATCTTCATAATTCCTCTCTGATTCATTCTCCACTCCCATTCTATTGTAATTGAATCCTACCTTCTTGTGACCTCGTAAAGTTGAGCACGCACCACAATCCTGGTTTTTTGGACTTAAATGGCTTCTAAATCATTGTATTTCAAAGCTTGCCTGGCTTCCAACTTCTGCACCTTATTACTACCCTTGTGAATATAAAATTCAATCTGCCATACTGACTTGTCTGTTTTCATTTATTTACATAACATGATGTTCTATTTTATATCTGCCTTCACAGCCGCTGATCTCCCTCCTTTACAACTACCTAACGCTCCAGTCTACAGACATAATGTCTATGTCATGCCTGGACTGCTGAGTCACAAGAAGGAATTTGAAGCCATTCTCGCCAGGTCTGCAAGTAGTCACAGTGGTTCGGCTGGTACGCTTCGTGGTCAATCAGCGACAACTATTCCAACACAGACACCGTTTAGGCCGTCACCACCGAGGAAGAGTTACAGTGATTTGGAAAAACCACCAAGGTATGGATTAATGTAATGTAACTACTGTGAAATCATTTATTTTCACTGGCATTTAAATTCACTATTGATGTTTTGAGCAGTATCACCGGGTTTTAAGTTTTAAGTTCATGAAACAATGGGTTCTATTTTTTATTCTTGTAGATTTAATTTTATATGATCAATCTATTCATCATTGCAAAAATATCAAAATTAAAAACGAGTGAATAATTAATGCATTTACAGTACTGTGAATGTGTAAGAACCTGATAAGGTTTTCAGACTAAAATACCTGCCTCATAAAATACCAATATGAGACCAAAACCCATGGCAATGTCAATAGTATATTTGAGCTGACTAAAATAATTCTGTTTGATAAAATCTTAGTCGCAATATAATGTATAGTATAATTTTTTGTATAATAAAAATGTTTGTTTAGTAAAAAACATAATTACTTAATCCTCTGCTAACTTCACTGTGCATTGGGCACCAACGTTACTTCACCAGCCTTCACAATCCTTAGCAAGCCAGTGGATTTTGTTCCAGGTTTTGCTCATTGCTGCCATTTCCCCTTTTACTTTCACTGGCCCAACCAATGATAGCATCTCAGCTCTACTTCATCAATAAACATATTAGTAATCATATAATGAAATTCGATGAAAGATCCAAAAGTTTCATGTGAGGTAATTCAAAGCTCTTCCTGGAAATACAACATTAGGTGAACATGGGCAAAAATATATTTTGTTTCGAATTTCCACTTTAAACATAATTATGTGGTATGCAGAAAATTGATTCTTGTATACTGTACATAAGTCACATAACCATTGGTTATTTATTCTTAATCATTCAAAATTGAGAATACAAAATGATAATTTATGTTTTTATTTTCTCCTTTCTCAGGAAGTATCCTAAAGTATTTGCTGGATCAAGGAATACATCGGCAAAAGATAGAGAACGAATACTAGATAAACCAACAACAGAGGTTGAGTTAAACACTTCAGGGCACATGTTGGCAACATAGATACACACATGCAGTATTCAGACGCTTTATACAAGGTGTTATATACATTGAGTAATGTTTCTGTTTTCATTTGGTGTACTTGTGATTCCAACCATGGAATAGTCATCACCCATGGTTACTAACTAAAGTAACAGTGCAGGCGTCTCATCACCCATGGTTACTCAAGCACATGAAACACATATCTCATCACCCATGGTTATTTATGTAAAAGCGTTCATATCTCTTCAGCCTTGGTTACTTAGTAACAGTGTACATGTCTCCTCAGCCATGGTTATCTATGTGTATGTCTCTCTCATACAATGTACGTCTCTTTCAGAGGTCAAAATGGTATAAAATTCACCAGTGCCTTTAGTGTGTTTTTCAATTTTTCTAATTTGTACCATGTACACTTCTTTTATAAAGCACTGCCCCAGCATGTTGACTTTAAGTGCACATTTAATTAACAAATAGTAGTAGTAGGATGTATATGTACTGTATCAAGACGTCATGATATTTTGGTTTGGGTTGATTTGATTTATTCTTCCTTTTTATTTGGCGAGAAATAAATATTTTGTTTTTTGGTTCAGAAAATCCTTTTTCTTGTTTCTGCCAATTTATTGTAAAAATAAAAGAGAAAATAAGAAAAAGAGTAGAATCACCAAAACAAAACCTTAAATGTGTATCTCACTATTCAACACTGCCAACATGACTAGATTTATCATGCCAGTAATTGTGAGCAAACCCCTTCATGTATGTTGTATGTTGAAACGGGAGCAACATTCTCTTTTTTTTTTTCTTATTACACTTCACTTTGTACTAGGTTTTAACTTAGATTATATGTTTATTTACTTGAGTTAGTATTATTGGTCATTTTCGGATGTCCTTCCACTTTGTGTTTCTAATCTGTGATCAAATTTTGGAGGAATGCTGATTTAAACCTGGCTATCATTTATTTTTAATCTGGTATTTTATATAATACCAACAATAAAACCATAAGAGAAATACAATAAATTGTATTATACAATATTGTATTATACAATTGATTATACATCTGTCACCGTAACGTCATAAGTTACAGAGTGCCATAATTTTGCGGTATTTTACGGGGTATTTTCCATATTAGGAAATGCGAATTCCAAATATGGGATGATTATAAGTGTCCTCTAATAATAAAAAAAAACATGACTGTCAACAGAGTTTGACTGGACACAAAGAAGTTTGCTAATTCGGTTCTAAACATTTTGAATTTCGGCTGGGCGTCGGTCATTACTACAGCTGTACTGTTTACATGGATACTTTCAGGTATTCTCGTAATAACCTTATATTATACTTTTAGCACAGACAAATTTATTATTCTGTTAAAATCTGCAATCATTTCAATGTTTGACTTTCCTTGTATATGGTTTACACATGTCACCAACATTGAATGTGTTCCAGGTTAATGATGTCATATTTGAACACTATTCTTTGTTTACATTAGCTGCAGAAGTGTTACAGCGTGTGATGGGAACAGAATCCTGTCGCTTAAAGGGCGGTGGTCGTTGGGCCACGTCCTGTTCGACTCATAGCGATGTATACAACGCATGTAATATACTTTGTTTATTCACATGAAATTTAAACACGCGCTGCACGATGACTACCGCCCTTTAACGTATATGATAGAACAACGCAAAAAAATTTAGTTTTTTTCTGTTTTTTCTTTTAAATTAAAACAGAGAAAAGATGTTGTTATAATAAGGTCATCACAAGAATACTGCACTTGGTATGCACTTGGACATTATGAGATAGCATTGACCTTTGCTATGCGTAAGCCCATTTGATCGCTGTACTGCTTTTGTGCACACTTTGCAGTATTTTCGTGACAATCTCATATTCCTGTATATACCAAATTCATGAACAGTTTGTTTTTCAGGGCATTAGTTTGTCATTTACATCTGAACTAACTGAGGTCCTATAGATGTGCATGCTGCTCATTTTGTGCCCCCCCCTTCCAACCCCACCCCACGCTGTATATTCAATTTCATACCACTTAACCCTACACTCAAGGTGCTATTTTAATCTATGACTCAGAAAGTCAACAATAATGTAAAAACATTAGTTTTTGTTCTTTTTAAGTATTTTCATTCTAAGAGTAGTAATATTAAAACCACTCGCAGGTTCTGAACCTCATAATGAAAAAAAACAAAACAAGATGTATGTGCAATAAAATTGCAGTTTAACCAAATAATTTTAATTTGCGATACATGATTGCAAAGAGATAAACTTTGTATTGTAAGAATTCTGTAGTAAATGGTAGAATTTTATCTTCACGCCGTCCAAATTTGAATTGATAAGTTGGTTTACAGTGTCTGTGATATTTATATTTTTTTTTTTTATCACCTCAAATATTTGTGTGTAATTTGAATGGATTTTTATAAACCTCTTCTGTACATGTAAATAAATATGTGTACTGATTTTATGAATACTTGTAGTCTGTGTTTTATTATACATGGTACCAGTCCTACTGTAGTACTCATTGGCCACATTTGAAATTGTTATTTTAAGTACTTTACTTATACATTGTATAAGTCCTATTGTACCCATC